GCGCGGGCTTATTTTCAAGTCGTGTCGCCGTTGCTCGCGAAGGAGAGAGAGAGAGAGAGAGAGAGGGGGGGGGAGGGAGGGAGGGAGAGGGAGAAAGAGAGAATAGGAGAGAGAGGGCTCAGCTCTTATACGGAACGGACTAATCGACGAGAGCACGACGAAAGTCGAATTCCAACCGACGGCTCACGTCCCGGTAATTAAGAGCTAGATTGTCTCTACGGATCGGCAATTGCAATTAAACAACCGCACCCGCCGCACTGCTCCGGACGGATGAGGGTTCTTCAAACGCTGCGTTTATTCGTACGTTCATGCTCGTTCGTCGTGTGTATGTATGTATGTTGTGTGCGCGAACACGTGGAGAATTAACGAGGTGCAAAAAGAGCGCAACAGTTCGCTGATAATTCGCTAATCGATTGCAATTACTCAGCCGGACACGACGCAAGCCGTCGTCGACGTACCTTTATCATTTTCGACGTCGCTTTAGCGCCGAAATGAATTTCTCGAAGTTTCTATCAAGCACGGTGCTCTCTCTTTTTCTTTTTCTTTTTCTTCTCTTCTCTTCTCTTCTCTCCACACTATTTGCGTCAGGACACCTTGATTTCGACTTCTTCGGTGACAGCTGTCCCACGCGAGACTCCTCGGCCCTTCGTCTTTCATTAATAAAAATGTCGCGTGGCGTTAACATGTTTCAAGCTGTAAGCGCTCGGAAACGAAGGAAGCGACCTTACTCCCGCGAGCTTAGCTGCCGAGGAGCAATCAAATAACGAGACTCCATTGTTCGTCTAAACTCGAGTGGACTTCGCCTCTTAAGTATTTTAATTCGAGTCGTATCCGTGAGGTGTCCTACGGATATTGCGTATTGAGCAATTGCGAACATTTCCTCGAGGGAAATATTAACCGCGGGTCCCAGAGAGGAGGAGATTACTCTACGAACGAAGAGGGCAACTCGCATTAAAGTGAAAATCGAATTGAATTAAAATCGCAGGTCCACGGTGTGATGCGAAATTTTTTTCGCATCGTTCGTCGTCATTTCCCGCCGCGCGATACGTGGGCGGGACGTGTGTGATGAGGACATTCTGTCGAATGATTGTCATTTGAACCGAAAATTCACGCGATCGATGCCTCGCAACTATCGGGCGAGCTGCACAAAGCGCATCGCATGGAGCAGGAGGAGAGACGTTGCTCGATGTAGCGCGAGAGATTCTGGCGGCGCGGCTTACTGGCACGAAAATCCCAGCTTTTTTCCCCTCCGCGAATAATTTTCTTTGAAAGAGGTCGTCGTGGAGTATCTCCTCAGCGGGCCGAAAGAAATCTCGTCGCTTTGCCATATTCCGGCGGCGTACAATCGCGAACGCACTTTGAGAGAGCCGTCGTCATCGTCGTCGCGCGTGAGGATGCAATCGTGATCGCGCGTTTACGGACGCGACAGGGCGGATTATCCCCTCGCGTAGCCTACTTCCTGAAATAACTACCTTTCTCCGCGGCCCTTGTGTATCTCGCGAGTGCGCTAAATTCGGTCGGTTATTGGGTCGAGAAATCGAGCGAACTTCAAAAATAATGTCGCCGCTCTCTCTCTCTCTCTCTCTCTCTCTCTCTCTCTCTCTCTCTCTCGTCGAATCTCCTTTTCTCGCGGACGGGATACGTTGTTAGGACGAGGTGCGCTTTGCCAGCGGACGCTGCGTTCGAGAAAATCGAGTCTCGACGTTTCATCTTTCGAGTCATCACGTTGTGTGTGACATATAATGTGTCGTTTCGGCACCCACCGTTGTATCAACGCATTTTCCTATAACAATGCGACATACGATAATTAACGACCATGTGCAACTTCGTTACTTTTATCGTGATTTTAATATTGTTAATACATCGCATATCACGCACATATGCGCACACTACCGCACTACGAGCATCGAAAAACGATAAATCCAAATTGATTTCGTTTTATTATACGGATGTACAACGAACTCCTCTCAGGCGCGCTCGTCGGTATCCCGATTTTAAAGCCGGCGGTTATACGAACGGTAATATCTACCGTTTATAATAATCAGTTTATAAAGAACTTCAGTTACGTGTTCCGGTCGGAGTTCAACAGTTGCGACGTGGTTTGCGTCTGTTGACGGTGCAACAAGTCGGGTTAACAGCTGTTTCAGCCGCATATAGTTATATGCACGACGGCGGTGCTGTGGCACTTCGATTTGGCCCAAGTCCAGGCCGAGTTTACGAGGCTTCAGTGAACTTGGGCGTTACGTTCGTTGAATAGCGGACCGTATTATCAACCGTACGAGCTTCGATAGTACAGCGTGGTACATTGAATGAGAGCACTTGTACTCGAGTTTGGAGATAAGCGCATGGCGAATAATGCGATTGTCGTGGTTGCCGATAGCGTAAGACCAGAAGCGTGCACGCAAGTGCTCTCTCTCTCTCTCTCTCTCTCTCTCTCTCTCTCTCTCTCTCTCTCATTCTTTCGTGCATCCGACATCGCTAATTTATCGGTACAATTTAACGATACGATTTGCCGGAATATCGGAAATAAATGATTATCGTTTTGTCATTTTCGAAGAGCAGCGAGCGAGGACAAAAACAATTACGCGTCACAAATGTGTGTGTGTGTATATATATATTTTTCAGTTACTGAAAAACTGAACGATTGGAAATTGCACTTGTTGTATAACAGAAGTACTTTAGCTTATGTGGAAAAATTGCGTCGGCGAACCGACGTAATGCGTATTGATAATCGAAAAATACGCGTGTGTAAACTTCGAAATTTCAAATTCTGTTTTATTTCCCTTTTTTTCATTCCCTCTTTTTCATTTTTTCATTCCCTGTTTTTCGAGCGTCGCGATATTTCGAATGTGCGTTTGAATGTCACATTCGCAAATACGGATCACGTGTGTGTGCGTGTCGTAATAATTTTTTACGAGAAAGGTATGATATGACCTAGCAGCTCCGTGAATCAATAAACTCCGCCACAACAACACCGCGCACATAATTATTAACTCTTTCAAAGCCGTGCGTTTTTCTCAAACGAGAGGAAAAAAAGGATACCGCGTCGGTCGTTTTATACAGAGCAGCCGCGAGTTTGCGCTATTTGTGGAAGACGTACGCAGCATATAACATGCGTATACGTAGGATTTTAACGGATTATCTCGAGCACTTAGCAGAAAATCTCTATGTTAAATGATCTACCGCAGGAGTTGATGTTGTATTTTCCTCGCTTTTCTTTCTTTTTCTCTGTTTTTCTTTTGATTAGACCGGTTTTATTACCGGTGACATTGATTCTAAAATCCTGATGAATTTGATATAAGGCAAATACTCACGGGAAAACATCAATCTACCGAATAAAAAGATGTAAGTTCGTGATCGGGAACGCGTCGTATGATCTCGCGCACGTGATATCTATTTCTGGTGCATGTAAGTACTGAATATATTTCCATTCGTTAATTTTTGTCACGAGATTGAAAAATACTGGAGTAAAGAACTGCTGAGTTGTTTCCCGAAGTGACGTATATTCGTGACGACTATTTTTAAGAGAGTACAACATAAGAAACGGAAGGATCGTCCATAAAAAATTTCAAAAGTCTCACTTTGATAACGCATGTAATTCTTCGCTGTTTTTTGATCTCACATTTTATCATCCGACAAAGAAAATTAATGAGTGGTAATGTAATCAAGGTTTGTGCGTCGAAAATAGATATATCACCGTGAATCGTTATTCCGAGTCATAGTCACTCAGTGTTTCCGTCAATAAATCCGTATTCTTATCATTCTGAATACTGACGGTGTTCTGTGAATATTTTTTTACATCACGACGACGACATTCACGATAGAACACAGCATCCATCACAGTACAGTATCCATAAAGATTTGCAAAATATGGATTTTAATTTGAGACAAGAACGAAAGTTCACATGAGCTATTTTTTTTTACATATATAAAATAATTTGTTTAGCATAATGTAAATATTGATACGTACATAAATAAAATTATTGCATTGCGACACACAAGGTATCGGTCGGATGGAAATTCTCTCTTATCGAGAACGTAATAATTTTTCATAAGAGTTGCAGAAATGAAGGTTGCCAATTAATGGCCGACACTCGTATATTTTTCAATATTTTTCACTTTAATTATTTCGTGTGATGTGATTTGAGAGCACCGAAGCTTTTTGTTCATCGGGATAATTTCACCGATGAGAAAAAAGTAGAAAAAATTTTATTTAAAAGATATTTTATTCAGAAAATTCTTCGTTTTTCCGGCACAAAGCACTCTTAGGCTGTGTCTCATGACGTTCATGTTTCAAAGGGTCGAAAGGGTCGCGAACTGACAGGACATTGAGCAAATAGAAGGTCAAACCACTGACCGGGAATTTTACCTTCAGAATATACCCTCATCATGTAGATATCACGGGACCGATATGTGATAAAATACAGCGGATGTGATTAAATCGCTACGATTTGAGCAGTTTATGCGCGCATTTGATTACGGTCGCCAATAATCGAGATTAATTATGACACGATGTAATGCGATGCTCGAATTGAAATCGTGAAGTAAGGAGTTTAAAAGATCCATCATTTCACGATATCGCACGGTAGTTCTTTTTGTACTTTTTTCACTTTAAATCATTGTTTAGCGTTATGTGCCGTTTCTCCCTTCTTCCCAGGAAGCATAAATTTTTTCCACTCACTTAACTATGCTTCATATTAAAGAATCACTTTAGGATCATCCAACGCGAAAGGAAATAACCTTTAAACTCGCTCCTCGCTCCTCCTCGTGCGCATGCCAAAATTGAAATGTATGAGTTATTTTCATACACATTCACTTGTGTGCCCGAGAGGTTCCGCTCTCTTCCACTGTGCAACTGTGCAACAAAGTTCCTCTCACAAGAGGAGAATGATTCTATTTTCATGGCGCAAAAGATACAAGAAGACACAAGCAGAAATACAAATCTCATTGTTTTCCGATCACCGATAAAGATTTCAACATACGTGATTCTTTCCACTTACCTCAGGAATGTAGACAGAGCGTTGCCGGAGGAAAAGCTGGAAAACGGAGTCCGAGACATACACCGTCCTGAACGTTAAGGACCCGTTCAGGTCCTCGATTGCTTCTCTTGATCTCGTCCACGCTATGGTTCCTCTCCCTACACTCGTTACGATGCACTCTCCCTTTCTTTTCCCTTTCGATCTCTCCCCGTTGCTCTTTTGTCTCTTTCACTCCGTGCTCTTTGGACAAAGACAACGACAAGTGGCAGCCTCGACAGTTAAAATTTCCACACGAGTTCGTTTATCAGAGGACTAATTCTCGTTCTTTCTTTTCCTCTTTTCTCTTCTCTCTCTCTCTCTCTCTCTCTCTCTCTCTCTCTCGCACACGCGCTTCCTCTCTCCCGGCAGATATCTCGTGCCGATACGACACGGCTTTATGACCGCGGTTATTCGAACGAGGCCCGGAGGTGCCTGCCGATACGTGGGCTCATTGATTTCGCGAGACGACCAGGCATAGGGATGATATGCACGCGAGGACGTGCCCGACGAGAATCACAAGAGCGAGGAGCGTAGGTAAAGCGACGCCGGTGCGAAGCGCTGACTGAACCACTGGCGAGGCTACGAGGGGTGCTTCGTACCGTGTAGGTCCCCTCTCTGCTTTCAACCTCCGGACTATCGTCCTCTCTCTCTCTCTCTCTCATCTTCATTCCACCTCCGAACATCATCCCTCTCCTCTCTCTCTCTCTCTCTCTCTACTCGTCCTCTCTCCCTCTCTCTGTGGGACGCTCGCTCGCTCGCTCGCTTTTCGTCGCTCACTTCTTCCCTGCCGCCCTCCTACCTCCCTCTTCATCCCTGTCTACTTCCACCCTTCCCTGCTGCGACGTGTACAACCTACGTTACGCCGTAGTCGTCCTCGATGGGGTGGAATAGCGTACACACGCTACACATAGAAGCAACGGCTGTGCGATCCTACGATCCTGCGCTCTGACTCGCTGGAATATCGCGAGGCATCTGTCTCCCTCCCTCTCTCCCCCTCTCTTTCTCACTCTCCCTCTTTCTCTCTCCTTCTACTTACGGCTCTTTCCTGCCACTCTCATCTATCGTTCCCCTCTCTCTCTCTCTCTCTCTCTCTCGGTTTCGTTCTATCGCTCGCTCTGTCTCTGTCTCGTCGTGGTGAGATTTAGTCTATCCTCAGAGGACGAAGATAGGGGTTCTTAACCGGCGGGACTCGCGATTTCGCATACCGTCCTCCTTCTTAGCTTCGAAACCACGAGTACGGAATTTCGCAGTCTCGCGTTTACAGCTTTTAGCAAGTTTCGAAATTAGGTCTGGGATAACCGAAATTCCTGACCAAGTAGGACGACAATAATTATTCGATGACGAATCGTCGACTCGATGACCGCAAAATACTTAAACTGCTTCGATTCAAACGATTATTGAGTTTAAAATAGATTGTTTTTTATAAATTGTGCATTCGGTGCTTTCGGTGGTATCGCCTTCGTCCTTCTCTTCTGGCATTTCGACGTGAAGAAAATGACGTGATGAAACGAGCTGACATTAAGTGGAAATGATCGGCGTGTTTGCGTTCTCGAGGATGCTCCTTGCTTGGCGAACGATATAAACGGAATATCGTCGAGAGGAAGGCATAAACTAGAATTATGCGACGCGAGGCGAGAAACCTTTCGTTTCCGCGCAGTAATCCTTCGACATGACACGCGTCACGTCCGTCCTCGACGTGAAATCCAGAGTCAGAAATTGAATGTTGAATGAGAGGAATAGGAGGGTATCTCGCGCGGGGATGGTCCCGGGTAAAAGCACAAGTTCGAAATGACTCGGCACGATAGCGAAAAAGACGGAGGAGATTCTTTTATGGACCTTTTTCCAGTCTCGAGAATAAGACGTCTACGACGCAACAAAACGATTCAGAAGAACGTTTAAATTGCGTCCGAATAATTGGGTCATCTCTTAGACGGATCTCTTTATCTGGAATTGTAAAAATATGGCCATAGTTTTTCCATCTCGCTTTTCCATCTCCTCTTTCCGCGATGTTATCCGTTCACAACAGTGCCCTAGATTTACCTGCAAAGCAAGTCCCCCGTGGATTCAATTATTTCGTATATATTTTATGAATAGCTGTATGTACTATTCGCATGGACTTTAAAAATCTTTGAAAACCAAGAGATGGAATATTCCAACGCGGAGAATATAAAAGGAATACACGATCGGCGTATATATCGTGTCGTTGTCAAGCGTCTTCGTGGCGCTTTACTAGACAAAAAATTTATGTGAACGTTTTTACAATTACTATCCTTTCAGGGGTCACGATTACAATCCGTATATATTCGTGAAATACGTGAAACGTGAAGATTTCTCAATTTTTCGGATTTTTCGCTTCTAAAGATGTCTTCTATATTTCATACTTTGTACGTTATTTCATGGAGAACTTCAAATTTTAAATGCTCCCATGGGGGAGGAGGATAAACGTATTAAAAATACGACAAAATTTATATCTTCTTTAATATTAATTACATATCATGTATTCCTACAGTGTTAAAGTGCACCGCAATAGAACTGTTGCTACATCATCATCGATTGCGTGTATTTATGTATCGAACCATGAAACTTGGCGGATTTTACTTATTCTCGGGTCGTCCGGTCTGTAAACTAAAGTATTAGAGCAATTAGCGTTAGCCTGTCATGTGTTTCGTATTAGATAACATAGTTATCTAATTTCCGTCCGTGTGATTCTGCTTTATCGGCGGACGCGGCTCACAACTGCGTGCGTACTATATTTCGAACAAATCCGACTCGAGTGAACGCGTCACGTTTCCTTTTTATTTTCGATCACTTACTTCTCGGCAATTTGTGATATTTCGGAAACAAGCTGTGCGTTTGGCCATACCACAACACGAAGATGATCCCAGCTGACGCTATTATCGACAAGGGTGTGCATGCCATTATGACAGGGATCTCAGTCCAGCCTTTGCGCCACAAGTATTTAATCTTCGTTGCTGAAATCAAACGAACGCGATTATGTATAATCGCGATATTTTCGCGAACATTGTACTCGGAAACTTACGATAATTGGTGCCTCGTAGAAGGTTGAGATCATGGGCGAGCTTCCACCGTACGTTAATCTTCACCATTGTCGTTGATTTAATTCAACAATCAATGTGATTAGTCGCTCACCAGCGATCGTCAGTTCACCCGTGAACCGTTGACAAAGACAAATTCCTCAAGATCACGACCCGTCTTGTTTATGAGCGAAAATTGGCGGAGCTTTTTGACCGTGTCGTGAAGAGGTTAGGAAACAGCTGTTCTCTCGCTGTTCCGCGCGCCACGTACGATCGTGCAAGACGACGAAATCACAAGTGCATCGTCGATACTACTGCGATGTGGTTTTATCAACCAGAACTCATGTATCGAATATATCCATGGAATACAGCTGCAAATGTAGAGTATACATTACATTTATTTCAGCTTCATCAAGTATATCGTAACATTTATACAATTATCTTGTGTTATACAAATTTATACCAGAACATATATATTTACAAATCACTATATTGTGCTCATGGTCGTCATAAAGTTGAAAAATTAAACACACGCTGGACCCTAACAGCACAGATATCCAGAGGACGTCCAAAGTACGTCTTAAGGACATCCCGGGGACGTTTCCTTCATCCTCCGAAGGACGTCCATAGAACGTCCCCAGGAGATCAGGAGTGCTGTCTGGGTATATCTGATATCTGAAATAGTTAAATTCTTTAAATTTCCAAGTTCAGGCGCTCATATAGGCGTGACATATATCAATAAAACACTCGAAAACATCAGAACATCGGGAGATAAACTTAATCTCGAAGATCAAATCTGACTGCGCCGAATATATCGCGCCTTTGAAGCACCGCGAAATATCGAGCGTGCATCCTCTGCAACATTAATTGCGAGTTGTCGCATTTGAATATTTCGGCATATTCTCGGCGGGTATTATTTCGGCGATCTACAAAATATTGCTGTAGGACATTTTTTGGTCCGACTTTGTTCTCATGTTTATCATCAGCTCACGCTGAGCGAGCGTGCGCGGCGGAATGCGGCGTTTGTGTACAAACACGCGTCCGGTGCGCGTTACCGTGCGAGTGACCGCTGTGCCTGAGCGCCTCGCCATCTCGTGAGTCTCGCGCGAGCCGTGACGCGGAACGGACCAGTATGGCCGCCGTCGCGATATCTTTAATTAGTGACAACTGAATCGTTCCGTGTTTTCGCAGACGGAGTGACGAACGAGGGGAGCGCATCCGACCGCTGCACCCGTGGCAGATCCTGGCGGACCTCGACGTATCGGTGAGTGATGAAATTCCATTGAATTAACGTCGCTAACACTACGGATCGGTACACCGCTCGAGCACCTCACACCTTGCCTGTTCCCACGCAGCTCTTTTTGCATTATTAGTGGCGATGCTCGGTCACGTCGCATGTCGGCGTCCTCGTCGACTGGATCGTCGCGTATCCCGTGCCGCGGGAACGCGCATCGTTGTTCGTACGGGCTCGGTGAATGTGACGAAAGACGATTGACAGGTGTGACGATAAGCCTGCACGGATCAGCCACGGCTTAACCCGGAACACACGCGTATTTCAATTCAATCAACATCACGAACGTTGCGTCGCTCGCTCGTGCTTTCGTATTGTCGCGATTCACGTGAAAGAACATCCGTCGGCTACCCGTCGGCGATTTGAGGTTAGAAACGCGCGAAGATCATCGCCGCGGCAGGGCTTATTTCTTCACGATGTTTACCGCATTTTGGAGCCGAAATTTTGGCCTCCCACATTGCCGGAGCGAGAGATCATCGGTTGGAATGTGCGTCATGGCGACTTCGCATCGCACCGCGCGATGTCGCCACGTGGAGAGATTGCGGTCGGGTGCGCGTGTCGGCCGAAAGATTTTTATGCAAGTAGTATTTTCGTCGAGTTATTTGACTTTTTATTTTCCCTCGATTTCGTCGTCGTCGCGATTGGTTGTGCTGCGCGCGCGTGATCGCGAGCAATAATTCAGCCGAATTACGCAGTATTTGATTTTGGATTTATTTATCAACAACGGTGCAATCAGTAACGCGGCTTATTTCGCGATAGTATTGTTGTTCAGCAGTGCCAATAGCGGTGTTAGCGACGTTTATTATCTCTTGATTATCAAGGCATTAAGACGTTTGCGATAACGAGTGCAACGTTAACTGGAGTCTGAGGTTATTGATTATCTGGAACAGATTATAGAATTACACGTATCTTATTTTGCTGATATCGTACAATCGCAAGCGTTATTAATGTTGATATTAGTGTCAATGTTGAAGATGCCGATACATGTTAGGCTCAATGGCATCTCAAGGTAAGAATATTTTTTTAATTTTGAATTGTGCCGACATTTGAATTGAACATTGAAATTACATATCTGAAGATATTATTTTATTTGAACATTGAAGATGAATATTTGAAAACTTATAATTATTTTATTTGAACATTGAAACAAAATGTTTGAAAACATTTCACTTGAACATCGAAGCTGAACACTTGAAAATATTATTTTGTTTGAACATATGAGAAATATTTGGGCGGGAATAAGATTGAATTAGCGCGAGTCCTCCTTTCCTTTCTTGAATTTCGTCCGCGACGACACGGGATGAAAATTGACTTACACAGAGTCGGTTTTAAGCGACACGCGCACGGCCGGGCCAAAACCACTTTTGAAACACCACACATACGAGAAATTTGTGAATTTTGCGGTTGCTGTTAGTAGAACAGGTATCGCTATTTACTTCGAAATGTGCTCGAAATGCTCAAGATGTCACGCGGCGCGAACACAATCACGCGATATTTCTGTATGGCGGAATATGTGCCAGAAGATTATGATATTTGTGGAAGGCTATTGTCTTTATGAGGCTCGTAGATTAAAAATAACGCGCTAGAATACCAGAACGCGGAATTTTGCAACGATGAATAATATACGAACAATATAATTCCATCTCAATCGCGGTCGCTAAAATATTAATGAAATGATATTTTTACGTACGACGTACATGAGGACGTTTAAATGATCGTGCATGCGTTTTAGATGCCGACGTTTCTCTCGGAAAGCCAAGATATACGTATCGCAACACAACTTGATTACATGCCATTTTCTTTTTCTCATAACTATACAATATTTATATTGGCACAATGAGCGCGTAACATTCTGTCCACGCTGCCGTGTCGTATTATCTTACAGTCGCTCGTTTGTAAGAAGGTTCAACGTGCCCGACGAGAGAGAGAGAGAGAGAGAGAGAGAGAGAGAGAGAGAGCGGCGATCGATTCCCGATGCGACAACTCGGTTTTGCGATAATCGCGACTGTTTCTTACCTGCGAATTCACTCACGAATTCCGCCGATCCTCCCGGGGGGAATCCCGCTGGCAGGAGCCGTGGCCCTGGAATTTCGGGATTCTGCGCCAAAAAGCGAGCAGCGCGCGTCTCCGCGTGAGAAAAAGTTGCGTCTCCGTGCGAACGCGAGCGACACGTGCTCGCTGGAGACCACACACGTGGTTCCAAGTAAACGGAAAGACGAAATGTATCCCTGGCTTTGACCCTTTCGGTTTTCGTCCTCGTGCTCTCCTCGGCAGTCTTGGTAATACACAAAGACGCCCTTTATCTTGCGATAACACACACAAATTGTCTGCGTTGAAAATAATCGAAACCGCGTACACGCGACGAATTGCGATCGTATCTTGTGAAATCTTTTCTTCAGTCGACACTTTGGCCATCGTGGGCCATTCTCAGTTTCCCGCGTTTACGTTATTTATATATCGCGTGTATTTATATACGCTTCTCTGCTTTGCCGAAAAATATCATCGTCGTGAGACCGTCTTCTCATCCTGTCAACGAACATCTTCAGGAATTTACTCATTTAAGACCTTTGAGTAGATGCATATATATCGATAGGTACTCGGTGTGGGCACTTAGTCGAACTGATTTATTCATAGCGCTGCCTACGCGGACGCGTTTGCACCTGCATGAAAGTGAGCGATAGGATCTACGCTCCGCGTGTTATGATCCTTCGATCAGTCTCGTCGCCGCTGTCGGAAGCACTTAACTCGAGATCGATCCCGCTGAAAATTGTCGGACCTTATTGCAACTCGCGATGGAAAAACCGTTTGGTTATCGGGTATTACCAAGAGTTAGAAGCATCTCGAACTAGGAATCATTTCCTGCAAACTGGCAAGTTTGAGATTTCTTTCTCCGTCTCACCGAAAATATTTCCCGCAAAGTAGAAACGATACCGGTCTTGCTTCCGTAAGTCTCTTCGCACACGCAGCATTAACGCCACGCGCACTCGTTATCGATATTCGAGCGTGAACGCGACGGTATAAGACATTATTGTATCTTGCTGGCGTCGAGGACGTGGATAAATGACGCAGACGCGTCGTATGAACTGTAGCGAGTAACTATTGGCGCATCTATTAGGCGCCGACGAGAGAGACTAGCACCTGTTCCTACAGCGCTTCGCATGTAATAACACTTCGCTACCGAAGCCGCGAGTAGCTTGACACTCGCGAGTTGTTTTTCTCGGGAAGAAGAAAAAAAAACAAGACAAGTTTCTGAAGCCGACAGGACTAGATCAGCGAAATAAAAAAATCGCACCTATTTTTTATTTTTTTTTTCTTTCATTGCGGTCCTGCTAGCTTCATAATCCTTTTTTTTCGAAACGACGCGTACAAAATTTTGATTAATGGTACAAATGAATAAAACATGTATGACAAATAATGCGATAGCTGCGGTTTGATCTTGCTGATTTGATCCTACTAGCCTCAGAACGAAAACGAATACGAGCGGGCGCGTCGGCGCACCACGTGCGCCGCAGTATTTCCGTCCAGATAATGCCTCTCGCGTCTCTCGAGCGGACCTCTGTCTCTCACCCTCTCCGTGCGTGCGTCTATTCCCGCGTTTCGCGTCCGCCGTGCGTGAAATTGTGGCGTTGCTTCGCGGAAGATCGCTCGAACTTGCGAATTTCGTCGTCACGGCGTGATAATCGACCAGGAAGGCTGCCTGACACACGTCACCCACGCGTTCGCCACAGGGTTGAAGTCGCGTCGCCGGTAACGAGGGGTCAGGAAATCCGACAAATCGTCGGGCGTTCTCTTCCTCTCCCGGTGGAGAGAGGATGCTTTGGCAAGCGGCGCGACGCGGCCGATTATTTATTCGTTGCCCGTTACGCAACTACTCGGGACAGCCGACAAAGCGGCAACCGACAGAGGAACGATGTCGGCTCGCGAGAGAATTGTTGCTAGGAATGACAACGAGGGGTGGTGCACGCGCACTTCGCGGAACATTCGGCTTAG